GTTGAATAAGCTCAAAAATTTGATTTTTTTGAATTAAGATCTTCAAGATCAGTTTTCTCTAAAAAAACCGAGGTAGCTTTTAATTTGTATGCGGGGAAGAAACATCGCAATACAAATCTTCCTCGTGCTTTTTCTACACCGCTACTTGACACTTATGAATAAATGAGCCATGTATATCTTAGAAAGAGAAAAAAAGTTGACAAAAATCTAGGGAATGCCAAATATTTGAAACACAAGCAAAAAAACTTTCATGCAATTCCACTCGGGTAATTTGTCTTGACTTGAAAATACCAAAAATCGAGGGACTTCGTGGAATACACACAGTCGGATAAATTCTACGGCTCGTAAAAATATTGGATGAAGAAATTAAAAAATAAAAATTCAGGATAAAAATTTACTATTATTTTTGTATGATTATATTTACTGCTTTTCAGGCACTCGATATTTGGATGTTTGGCTGTGTTGGCTTTATTTTTCTTTCACTTGTTGAGGTATATAACTTTTCCTCACCATATTCTGGCAATTAAACACTCGTATTTGAGAAAGCGAAAACAATTTTAGTTCCATTTAATTTCATTTCCAATAGTTATTCGAAAAAGAATTTGCTTACGGTGTGAACTGCGATCGCAGCAATATTTTTGTGCATACTGTATAGTGCCCCATTATTTCTGGAAGCAATATTGCCTGTGGAAGCATTTATTCTTTAATCTAGCGCTTCTTTACTGCAGCTAGCCATTGTTGGTTATGTGGACAAGGTAGATGCGAGGAGACGAAGAAAAGTGCGAGTTCGTGAGTACAGTTTGCAGCAGCAAACTGATCCGTGGATGCAGTCGATGAGCAATGATTCGCGCATCCCACATCTCAGACTGCCGTCCTCGAAACTCAGTTAGTCTGACTGAATATGTTGAGAATACTTCCATGCTACTTAAGATTTTCGAGATTTCGAAAAAAATTTTGAAAATTTTTGAGAAAATTTGGCGAAAATTGTATTAAATTTTTAAGAATGCGCATTATCAGCCAACTTTTTTGCAACTTATTCTTCTAAATTCATAGGCAGTTAGTGAGAATTCAATCATTTTCAGTGAAAAAAAAGTTGCAAAAATAAATGCGTATATTTCTTAAAAAAAGAAATATCTTTTATCGCCGAATCTGACTGTGTCGGTTCCAACCGAATTAAATGCTCGCACCCATCGAGCTAAAATTGCTAGAAATATCTGCAGAGATACTTCTAAAATTAACTATTGGTACTATGCCTCTGACTAAAAATATCAGGAACACGGAGACTGCTAGGGCAGTCGGTGTGGATATTCCACGCTAATGGGGTTAGCAAAATACTCCTAGACGACGAGTACAGCTGTGCCGAGTTCATCAGTCCTGAGAGAAATCTCACCAGAAAAAGTTATTGTTGTTTTAAAAAAAAGCTGAAAATCTAGCTGCCATCAAAAAATGTATAGTGTCTGTGTAACATTTATACTGAGATGTGCGCTTTTATGTTTTATGATTTCCAGATAGCCCGGTAGAAGCACTACAACAAAGCAGTGGGACAAGGTTGAATCTGAACGCTGAGAATCGTAACTTGCTTCTAAACAACACGTCTGATCGATCGCCTCATTACTGTTCAGCAACGACCTCCCAGCAAAACTGCTTCCGTCGTGTATCCTCTGCTTCTGAGCAGCACAAGAAAACGAAGGGAGAAACTATCGACGAGGTAATCGTATTTTTCGCAAATATTATCATTCAGTGCTTTATTGGTAAGATTATATCTTTTGCAATTCTGTTTAACATAAGCAGGGAAGATCTTTACTTACTTATGGAGCAGCTGCTTTCAGTCGGTAGTGCAGTTGACGATGGCATCTCGCGTTTTCTATTTGCATTCTCAGCCTTTTTGAAATTATTTATCCTAAAACAAGCACTTTGTGTCCCACGCATGCACAAACACATCTCTTTATATCTCTTTATCCATATAATTAAAGCCTTGAAAATAAAAGCCATTAGGAATCTCAGTAGCTATAAAAACTTAGGAAGTGTAATAAGTTCTCTCTGTCAGAGACCATTCAACTGAATAGGATTTTTCGACATACGCAGAAGGAAAAATGCATTTATTTAGAACTATTTGTACCAGAAAAAAGACCGTGATTCTCGAAAAAAATTATGCATGTTAGATGTTCATGTGGCCCCGTAGCGCAAAATTCTTGTCATATTCGAAGCTCTTTCTCCCTGCATGCAGGAGAAGACCAAAACGCAGCCAATATAAGTATGCTTGTTAAACTGTAGCACAGGAAGCAGTCTTTTTGTTAATAATCTGCAAGTTTAACTTAAAATACATGATCGCACCGCCAAACCTGGCGTGTTGAACCTAAAATCTGTCGCAAAAATCACACTGCAAATTATACGCAAATTAAAACAATAAAAGAGTTCCTTCTTTGTTTCTTTCTTAGCAGAAATGTTAATCCAAAGCAATTTTTTTCTTAAAATATGCTATCTACTGCTTACTTCTTTACTACAGCGGTGTTGCTTCGCAAGCCAATTTTGACAGCCTTTCACACATTTTCGAAGCACGACTAAACCTCCGGGATCTGGAACAATGAAAAAGGCAACAAAGCGCTGTCCTAAAAATTTTTGGGCGATCTCGCTGGCGTATGCATCAATTTATTCTTCAGAAATTTGCAGTATCCTTCAGGTGATGAAGCAAGCGCTAACTGGAGCGTCTAAGTTTAAATAGAAAACAATTGGGGTGTAAGAATGACAATATGTCCAAAAAATTCAGAGCGGAAACAAAGGAAGAGGTAAAAAATAATATAAGATTTGTTTTAATTGAAAAGTGTTTAAATACAGCGCACACGGTGTTCCCGTTCCGTCTCAACAGTACATGCGAAAAATTTTGCCGCGTGATGTGTGGAAAGAATCCAATTAAAATTCTTACTTATGCATCATATTGGGCGAATCATTCAGTCCCAGTGTGAAAGTCGATGTCAAAGTCCTTCCAGATCTTTGACAGCTAAAATATTTTCAGATCTCTGGCAAAGCCTTTCCGTTGCTTTTTATTGTATTCAACATTTTTTATTGGTTTTACTACATTGGCCTCTCCGGAAAAATTTTGTGATGCTCCATTTGCTGTGTCAGTTTTGTCATTTAATGCGATAAATTCGTTAAATTAATTACGAACTTGTTAATTCATTAAATTGTTTGCGCTATCATGACGTATTTTAAACAGTAATGGGAGCAGTTCACAAAAGTACTGCTTACCATCCAAACATGTGCCCAGTGATGTGAATCACAGAAACACATCACCGCGATAGCATGTCTGCGTATTTGGCAATCTCCCGTGATTATTGAACTCTAGAACTGCGAGAATTACAAGCTGAATTTTTACCACATCACCGTATGCATCAAATGTAAATCTCAAAAAGAATTCAGTTTCGAAATTTCGAAAGAGTATGAAAGGAAGGTACGGTAGGGAACACTAAAAATAAAGAAAGGTAGTAGAATGCCTGACGTTAAAATTTTATGAAAGTGTTACTAGTCAAGTCGCCAAAATATGGACTAATAGACGAACAAGCATCTTTATACGCCAGCATGAGTATAGAGGGCCTTTCCACTTGAAAACACCTGATATTTGGGTTAACAGAAATATCTTTATATTCATTAACGTGACTGGCTTGTGGTCGAAACCATTCAGATTCAAATATATTTTCACATAAACAAAATTCTGCCAAATTTGTCCATATTTTGGAATCTGAAGTTTTACAAGCAAAACATTATTTACTGCGAAAGCAAAGTAAACAGAGTTAACCGTAAAACTGATTGTTTTCAGATTTTTTTTCTTTTTTGAATTTTTTCCCGAGATGCGTTTGTAGTAGAATGTTGGGACTATGACTTGAGAAGTGAAATAAGTGTGGAAGACTAATTTTAAATAAATAACTCCGTGCACGAGATAAATGAAGTGAGCTTACATTTCCCGTACTTGGCACAAGGACTAAGTTTATAAAATTTCAACTTCTTAGCATGTCTGGCACCTGAATTATAAGGATGCAAACATTTTCATGTTTTCAAGCTCCACGCCCTTGTCAGAAGGAGCGAGAATGTATCCGAGCTCCAATGAAGATCGACAAACGGTCGCAAAGCATCCTGCGCCATCATTCTTCCCCTCCTTCCGTACTTTCTCTTCCCCGACCTTCCATGTAAAAAAATCTATTTTGGTACATGAAAAAATATCTTCGTAGATCGTAATTAGTATAAATACCCCAGATTTTATTTCTGTTTATGGTTGACACTGTCTTTTTTTTTGTTTTCTCGTTGTTTGACACTGATTAATAATGGCCTCGTCCATATTCCAATCGGTGGAATCGGTTGTATTTCATGCTTTTTTATTAATAAAGTTTCTAAAAACCATCGCTCTCAGCAGTCCTATCGGAGACTCATCTTTCGTCAGAAAAGGTAGCATGTTCTCTTTCGAGATCCATGTTTTTTCTTTTTACAGTCTAAGCACGTACGGGCTTATGAAAGTGCTTTTTTAATTCTGAAAATTGACGCATGACCGGAGATCACGTCACCTGAATTCTAGTTTGCTAGGCCGTTTGTCTGTGAAATTTGAACAGTGCGAACAATTTCAACTGCCAGTTATCTACATGAGAAGTAGGCATACATGAAAATATGAAGAAACCCCTATAAAATTTCAGTATTTTGTCAATTCCGGTCGCAGAGTTAAGAACTCGGGACAGGTGTTCGAATATGCACTCACCGACAGAAATATGTTCTCGTTGTTGCAAGATAAAGTATATAAAAAGTGAACAGTATCTCTTGCCTTGAACTCATATCCCTCTTTTTTTTTCAGTAGGGAATACCTGTTGTCATAATATTTCTGTTTTCGCAAAAAAACCAAATATTTTATAAAAGATTAGAATACGCTGAGGAGCGCATCACTATTTCGCCGAGGAGTAGCACCTTATCGCTGATGAGCAACATCTCGTCGCCGAGGGACACCACCTAATCGCGGGACTAGCACATTTTCGCCGAAGAGCAACTTCACATTTTCACGGCAAAACATTTCATATCACCAAAAAGCGCAACATTGCGGAAGTGCAATGCTGTTTAGGAGTTTTCACAGTCTGTCAACCCCAGTGGGTCTAAAGGCTGGAATTTTTTTTGCTGATGTCATCCAAGCGGCCGAACAGGTTCTATTCCGCGATTCATCTTCCAGTAACTTAAAAACACTGCAGTAGATCGCCCATTTGTTCTGTAATTTTGTCTCGTCCATGGTTCTTTACTTCGCTTCCAACTTACTCTTACTTCAGTTTGACCAACACTTCCTTGCAAATTACGTATGAGTTTTGTGTATTAGTTCACACTTTAAAATTTCTATCACGGCGTTGAAGGAGGAAACTATAAGCATAAAACTAAATTTTAATATACATAAAAAGTAGCTTGGATGGAATGGCGCAGTGCTGTAGCACGGTTGTTAGGTCAAACGTTCGGGTCTACCGGTGGAATGACCAATCATTTCACGATTCATTTCGACGGTAGATTGATACTAGCATATGCAGGGGAGAAAAACCCGCCATCAGCTTGCTTGTAAGCAACCCTTAGAAGAAGGAGCCACCGACAGCATTACCAGCGGCTGGTTGCTGACCTTGGCATTTGCTACCGTTCGGGTTACTTCTCGAGTGTCTTCGCCTCTCACTGACAGCAAAACACGTTGTTAAGCAGGCTGAAATGCGACCAAAGCATTCAGCAAATTTCAAAATTTCTGGTAGTCGTGGCACTAGCTCTGTTCATGTGCTGAAGATCGAGAGTTCGAACTCCACTAGTAGGAAAATTACCCCCTCTACGACTCGTCCATTCGTCCCGATAGTAAATTTACAGTGGCATCTGCCACCACCTTGCGCTTAACTAACCACTGGATCAAAGACTCGAAACTGTTTCAGCTAAAGTTTTTTGCTTTTGGCATCTGCCGTCACTAGGACAACTTTCAAACGCTATCAGCTCGTACAACGTTGTAAATTTCAGTCCCAACAACATCTTAGAACATAAATGCACCGGCTTTCTGGTGTACATGGCTATGTACTTCTACAACTGCGATTCACTTAAACGTCACGTAAAGCTAGTTTCTTTGTTTCAACTACAGACTACGTTAATGCGTAAATACTGAAACTCGTTTTGCAAATTTTTTTTTCAGCGCTCCTGAAAATCGTCCTAAAAAATTTTACGGGGATGAATCTATTCTGCATCTTATTCATGTAAGCAATTATGCATTTCGCTTGGTTCTAAAAAATTTATAAAAAAACACGCCGCAGAAGCCGCGCAGCTGATAGTGCTGTGTAGTGCAGTAGGTCGAAAGTTCGACTCTGTCGGTGGACAACCAAATAGTCTACGATACGATTCGCTAGTAAATTGGTGCTGACTTATGCCACGGAGTCAAACCAGCCATCAGCTTGCTTACCTACGATACTTCGAAGAGGGAGCCATCCACACCCTTGCCAGCGGGTGATTGCTGATGGTGTTGGCTACCATTCGGACTACTTTCCGAGTGCCTCGGCCTCTCACTTATAGCGAAATACGGCGACGGGGAGAAGGACTGGAGGAGGGGAGGGTTGACTCCTGACACAGAAAAGGACTCTTTTAGTAGCTCCAGATTCTTCTTCACTAAATGTATTTTTAGGATTGTTCTCGATTTGGTATTAACTGATGGACAAGCCGTCAGTTCCTTCAATGGCAACATGGTCGGCAGCAGTGTACGATTTTTTTCTCCACTTTTTCCTATTTAAATAGTAGTAACCTAAGAAAGTGAATGAAATGCGTATATACATCGAACAAGCGATAGGCATAAATCTTCAGCAGGTATGCAGCTAAAGAACTTTGGGCCTGGCGTAGTTGTGTACGGCACGTGCAAGCATTTCAGCAGCACAACTAACACGGCTTCCTCAAGCCAACTATCCGTGCAGTCATGGTATTCCCAATACTTAAAATGGAGACTTTAGATGTAAATGAAAGAGTTGTTGTTGCAGTCGATGAATAACAATGCGAATACATACAGTAGCGGCGGAACCGGCTGGGACATGTAC